ATTTGGATGGACAAATGATATCAAAAAACATGTGCCCTACTGCTAATAGTCTATTTCTTGATCCAGGTGGAGGTTCACGTGGGTGAATTAACCCTGTGATCACTTCTTAAACATATTTTTGGCTAGGTGCAGTGGCTCATGCCTATAATCCCAGCACTTTGATAGGTCGAGGCAGGCAGATCACCTAAGGGCAGGAGTTCGAGACCAGCCTGGCCAACATGACGAAACCCTGTCTCTACTAAAAACACAAAAATGAGCCCTGTGCTGTGGTGCATGCCTGCAGGCCCAGCTACTTGGAAGGCTGAGACAGGAGGATCACTTGAACCCGGCCTGGGCAACAGAGTGAGACTCCACCTAAAAAAAAAAAATACATTTTCATCAACATATTTACGATTCATGCACTTTTCTGAATTGAAGATGCTAAAGTTGATAGGACGCCATAGTTTTGGACAAGCTTTCTATACTAGCCCCAACACACCAGAGCAAACCCGAATAATCACTTGTGTTAAGTGCCAAGTAATCAAATTGAACTTTGAAATCAGGGTCAGTTTTCCAAAAGCAGGAGACTCACAGCACCAATCAGAGGGGGCCTAATTTACCTGAGCCAGCTGACAAAGAAATCCCCTCTGTTTAACTCTATAAGGAAGGTAACTTTGAAATTACCAATCTGATTTTTGTTCCGTTTCTAATTTTCTTCAGCCCTTTGTGCCTATAAAGCCAAACTCACTGAACACTCATTCAACTTGATAGAAAGAGATGTTACCCTATTCTAGAATCACAAATAATATACTTATATTTCCATTTTTTTAAAAAAGTTTGTTTTTTACAAATTAAAACAAAGTAAGCATCCCCAGGTGTACTGTGTATAGCATTCAGTCACAAAGGTTCTGTTAGTGGATCTCAGGAAGATCTGCTCAATGTAAGCTGTGTTTTCAGCATCACAAAACACATTAGCCAACGTTTCCTGCCGGGTTTATTCTCATGCCTTTCCAAGGTTGGGAACTCCACATTTCTTCTGGCTCATGGTTCCCTTCTTCATAAAGGACAGGTAAAAGTCAAGTCTCTCTCTTGTATCTTTTTTTTTGTTTTCTTTGAGACGTTGTCTCACTCTGTTGACCAGGCTGGAGTGTAGTGGCACGATCTTGGCTTACTGACACCTCCACTTCCCGGGTTCAAGCAATTCTCCTGCCTCAGCCTCCCAAGTAGCTGGGACTACAGGCAGGTGCTACCATGCCCAGCTAATTTTTGTATTTTTAGCAGAGATGGGGTTTCACCATGTTGCCCAGGCTGGTCTCGAACTCCTGGTCTCAAGTGATCCACCCACATTGGCCTCCCAAAGTGCTGGGACTACAAGCCTGAGCTTCCACACCCACCCGGCCTGCACAGGCATTTAATAAAAATTCTATTTCCAAATAGGAGTCCATTGACCTTATGGGAAATTTTTTTTTCCATAAAAATAGGCGTAAAAAAGAAATTTTTGCAAATTTATTTTTAAAGACTGTACCCAAATGCAATGATTTTATTGGTTCCCTTTTCAAATTCCTCATTAAAGCCCCTCACTGATAACAGATTCTGTTAAGATTTTTAAACTATGATAAAATTAGAATATATAAAGAATCCTTTAATATCCATAAGCATTTGGTTTGTGTATGTTCATGATCAAATTAAAACAACTTGGTCGACAGGACGAGCTCCATTAACAAGAGTAATACAACATCCTAATCTCCACATAGCACAGAGACAACTTCTCACTATTAAAAAGAATCATGGTAAGATCTGAATCCTACACTTAGCGGGAACCTGCGACACGAAAGCCCGGCCAGTCCTTGGAGCCACGCAGGGTGCGATTAAGCCGGGAACACCTTGTACCACTGGCTTGCCTCGCGGCTTCTGCCTTCCCCACCGCAGCAAGAGACAGAGGGGCGGGAAAGGCTGACGGGTGTCACCTCCCACCCACCCTCTGAGTGGGCCTAAGGGAGCAGCGGCGGGGCTCGCTGCAGCGCGGGCCGGTAGGGCAGCACACGCCCCGGAAAGACAAGGAGGGTAAACTAAAACTCTCTTTAAGTTCCCTAAGCGGGAACTCGCGACGGCGCGTCAGCTTTTTCCCACGCTCCCGCCGAGCTGCCGGTTCCCTGCACCCGCCTCTGCCAGCAGAACTCCCCGGGAGCCCAGGTTCCCAGCCTACCGCGCGCCTCGGGAAATTCGTCCAAACCTCAGCCTCCGGCGTAGCCTGAATTTACAGGCCTGCGCTGCCACGCCCGGCTACTTTTTGCATTTTTAGTAGAGGCTGGGTTTCACCATGTTGGTCAGGCTGGTCTCGAACTCCTGATCTCAGGTGATCCACCCTCCTCGGCCTTCCAAAGTGCTGAAACTACAGGCGTGAGCCACGCGCCCGGCCTAAAGTCACTTGTGAAAAATGAAACCTGTCTTATTTTGAGTCTACATCAAGAATAAAGACGGAAAACAAACGCTATTACATCCTGCAGCAGGCCCTGCGGTAATTTTTTTAAACCTCTTTGGTGGCCATGGTGCATTTTGAAAACGCGATGAACGCTGTAGATAGACCCTTTCCCTCCAAACAACGCACAGTAGTGTCTGTTAAAGAACAGGCTGATCTCACTGGCCCTTTCCGAAGTTTCCGCACGGCTGCTCAAGCCCTCCACGGTCTGGTTGGGCGGTCTGGGATCCGCCTCGGCCAGCTAACCGATGCTGCCCCTGGCGAGGACTCTGCCTCTAGGACTGGAATCGCGAGTGGGTGGGGTCGCCTGGAGGCAGCTGGCTCCGCCCGACCCGCCGGCGACTCCAGAACACAGTTACCTGCCCGGGTTGCCCGCCAGAACGCAAAGGGAGAGGAACACGCCAGACCGGAAACGGAAGAGAGTGCGGGGGACGTATTTGGCACCCGGACGCGCTCTTTGAGTTGCACTCCTGGTTGGCTATGTGTCTTCGCTGTTTGCTAGAGTCTCGGCGTTCCTACGTCTGTGCCCCCTTTCCTGCCAACGTTTGTTCTCTGGAAGCCCGGAGACATCAGCGGCTGTAATTGTGCTACTCGCTGCTAGCTATGGAACGGTCAGGTACCGCAGTTCAGCGCTCTTGGCCCCGCAGGTCTTCGGAATCCCGGTGCCCTGTCCTGTACCTTCAGTCATCCCCCGACTTCTTGGGGTCGATGTTATTACCTGCTGGGTTTTAGAAGCTGTTGCTTTAAATCTGAGAAAAGAAAAATCCCGAAAAGATAAGATGACTAGCCCAAGGTCATAGCGTGCGTGGACAACAGAGCTGCGATTACAAGCCTGGTCGCTGTGCCTCATTCCTCTTGTCATCATCTCCCGTCAGTTTATCCAAGCTCCAAAAGCGAAGTTGTTTTATCTTTTGCCTCCCAAGATTTATTTGATGGTTTCATTTCTGTTTCCTTCATGTATTCTTTAGTTCATTATTGAAAAACTTTATAGCCTGCCAGTACTGGTTATAAACCCCAAGTAAGGCAGTCTTCTCATCACGGAGCTTGTAGTTCCAGCAAGTAGACAAGTGTTGTGTAGCGAAGTAATCGCTGAGATAGTGTACGTAAGCACAGAGTGCACTATTCTTCCAACAAGTAATTGCTGGAGAAGCAAATAGGGACACCTAACCACTGCAGGAGAGACTCCAGATATCCTTTCTGGAAGAAAAGGCTGATGAAATGAAGGTGGATCACTGGTTGAAGTTAGCCAGGAAAGAAAAGGTGTTGTGACATTCTTGGTTTTGCTATTTATTCTCCAAGAACTTTATTATTATGAAAGCCTAATTCCACTGCATAAGTTCCATGCATAACACTCAGAAGGCAATTTGGTTAAGTACAGTGCTGAAGCAGGTTAGTGGCAGTGAAGATGGGAAGGACCAGCTGAATGGAGGAGATAAACTGCACAGGTAGAATTAAAGGGCTTTTACATCATGGGATAATGGTAGGGTGGTCAGAGATAGCAAAGATTTCAACTGGCTGTGTTGGAGGATTAGGGTATCCTTAATGTTAGCAGAAGAATGCAGGGCCGGGGTTGAGAAAGACTTTTACATATGTTATAGTTTTTAGAAAACAAACAAAAAAATCTAAAATAGAAAGTCAGTCTGAAAGGGGAAGTCTTGAATGTCGTTTTGAAGGTGTTGCATTTGAAGTACTGATGAGATGCTGTCAATGGAAACAAACTCAGGTGGAGGTTAGGTCTAGAGTTTTATTATTTTAGTGTTATGGAGTTACTTATACATGATTTTGTTGTTGTTGTTGTTTTTTATTTTTTGAGACGGAGTTTTTTGCTCGTTACCCAGGCTGCAGTGCAATAGCGCGATCTCGGCTCACCGCAACCTCTGCCTCCTGGGTTCAAGCAATTCTTCTGCCTCAGCCTCCCGAATAGCGGGGACTACAGGAGCGTGCCACCATGCCCAGCTAATTTTTGTATTTTTAGTAGAGACGGGGTTTCACCTTGTTGACCAGGATGGTCTCGATCTCTTGACCTCTTGATCTCCACCCGCCTCGGCCTCCCAAAGTGCTGTAATGTAGATTGCTTTCTGTGATATGATAGCAGTCTTGAAAGAAAATATTGTAGTAAAGATTATATGTGAGACTCATTCCATCCGCCTGATTACCACCTTTCTGTTAAAATAACTTTAATATTAACTTTATTGATTTTATTTTATTTTATTTTATTTTATTTTTTTGAGACGGAGTTTCGCTCTTGTTACCCAGGCTGGAGTGCAATGGCGCGATCTCGGCTCACCGCAACCTCCGCCTCCTGGGTTCAGGCAATTCTCCTGCCTCAGCCTCCTGAGTAGCTGGGACTACAGGCATGCGCCACCATGCCCAGCTAATTTTTTGTAGTTTTAGTAGAGACGGGGTTTCACCATGTTGACCAGGATGGTCTCGATCTCTTGACCTCGTGATCCACCCGCCTCGGCCTCCCAAAGTGCTGGGATTACAGGCTTGAGCCACCGCGCCCGGCGATTTTATTTTTTTAAATTTAATTTAATTTCACTCTTAATGGCGCGATCTCGGCTCACGGCAGTCATTTGGTTTTAAGAATAATAAATTGTCATTTATTAACCATGTCAGAGTTTATCTGCTGAACTCTGGGGTAAATGGAGGGAGGGAACAGATTTGGGAGCACCAGCACCCCTAGACCTCCCCTGGCCACCCCAAGGAGCAGGTGATTAATATCTCAGCACACCTCTACTTATTAGTGGCACATCAGTGTGTCTTAGACCTTAGTGAGCTGTGAGGTGCATGACTTTGGGTAAGTTACTTCTCTGTTTCAGTTTCCTTATCTGCAAAATGGAGACCTTAGGGAGTTAATGTGTGTGTGTCAACTGTACATAAAACATAATGCACAAGGTGAGGCATGTAGTGTATGCTAATAAATGGTAAGTTGCTGCTGTTATGGTTGTTAACAATAATTATAAAAAGCAAATGGAAAGGGCTTGAATTGAGAAAAATTTTAGACACATAGTTTTTTGCGTTATTAGCTCGCATTGTAGTTTTCATTTTTTTTTCTTTAATGCTTCTTTCCAGGACAAAAAATATCCAAAGATATTTTGGCACTAACAGTGCGATCTGTAGCAAGAAAATTGGGCAGTCTATTTGAACTGTTCATTCTTCCGAGGAGACCTCAGAGAGCCAAGACAGTATAAAGGAAAATTTGAAAAAAAGACTTATTAGACATTATTAAGGGCACAAAAGTTGAATTAAGCACAGTTAATGTACAAACAACAAAGCCACCCAACAGCAGACCACTTAAAAACTACAACTGGTAGCCTTCAAAGAGCTACAGAACATGCTCCAAAGAAGAGAGAAATTTAATTGTAATTTGAATGTTGTTTGAAACTAATTTTTGAAACTCCAGTAAGTTTTTTCTTTTGGCAAAAACTATTTTTAAATGTGAGTACTTGGGAGATGTTGAATTAATGAAGTCCAAGTTGAATTAGTGAAGAATAAATATCAGCTTGTAAACACAGGGACCCTAATTACTTGCTGTAATGTATTTTAGAAAACAAACAAAAAAAAATCTCTTATATCAGGGGCATTTTAATATAGAAGTGTGAAAAATGGAAAGTCCGTCTAAAAGGGGAAGCCTTGAATGTAGTGTAATGAAATGCTGTTATTGTATTATATTTAAATAACAAGACGATATTTGTATACAATCCAGTGAAAGGAAAAGAGAAGTGATGTCATCAAGAATTCCACACTCTTACCTATTTATTAGTGTTATTAACTGCCACTTACTTAATTGCCTCTTTAAGCTGTTAATTAACAATACCATTTACATCCTGATTTGAAGGTAGCTTCATGTCTGTAAAGGACTCGCTTATTTGAAATTTTCCATTTTAAAGATTTTTTTTGAAATAAAGTTTTAGCATGTTGATTACAACTGCTTTATAGGACTTCCTTTGACCAATAACTGTCAGTGCTTTCAGCTTTCTTGGTTACCTCAGAGCATTATCGTTACTTGTGCTTGTCAAAAGAGTATTATATTTAATTCTAAGGGCAACCAGCAATATCTTGGCATTGTATTGTAGGTTAAATCGCAGTATTTTTTTTAGTGATACATAATGATGTATTTTATAATGTCATTAATTCAAGTAGTAAGGTATGTGGCTTTAGGATACCCATCACTGACTTCTCTTATCAGAACAAACTGATAATATAGGCTTCTGTTTTCCAGAATGATTTAACATCTTAATGGAACTTCTTAGTTTCTACATTGTATCAAAAATACCTCTAGAAAGTATAATTGGGTGGTTGAGTAAGTTAATTCAGACAATCATTACCCATAATAGGTACTTCCTCCTATACCTCCTCCTCCTTTAGAAACAAAACAGTTATATATAAGGGTATGGAAATAAACAATGCACACATAAGCATATATAAATATCAAGAATGACATTTTTAAAGCTCCCAGACCTGTTTATGTCCCCTTATACTCTTTACTATAATTTAATTAAATATTAGAGAAATGGTAAAATGAGTTGAATGCTTTGGAAAGAGTCAGTAAAAGTCACTTAAAAATTTTCTTTCAAATTAAGTATGAGTGAGACAAATGTACATATGCGGGAGGATAGTACACTTAGATTGCTTTGTAAGCTTTCTTACATCCTTGCTCCACTTTTCCACTTAAACCAAAACTGAAAATACTGGAGGATGGGTGTGATATATATAAAAGATGTGTCTTAGAACCTTCTATCAGTGGTCCTATGTTTAAATGAGGCTTTGATCCTACATCAAAAGACTGGCGAATGAGGTACATTTGTTTTGAGTTTTTAAAGGGTGTCTTTTAATGATTTTTGCCTCCCCTCCCCACTTTTCAAGGACTCCAAGGTGCATGGGATTAGGTTAGTCATGATCTTTGCTTCATGAGGCACTGTCATCATAGCTTTGTGCATAGTGTGTGTAACCCCCCATATAGGTACCAAGGAAGGAGAGCTAAGCAGAATCCTGGCACAGTTAGTGCCTGAAGAATATCTCAGTTTGTAGTGTTACTACTCAGTTATTTCCTTCTATATAATCCTTTATATATAATCATATATTAGTTTATAGAATTAGGGCTTGAAGAATATCTCAGTTTATAGTATTACTAACCAGTTATTTCCCTTTATATAATCCTCTATATACAATCATATGTTAGTTCATAGAATGAGTACCTAAAGAATATCTTACCACTCAGTTATTTTCATATATATATATATAAAACTGTATCTTAATTCATAATCAGAGGAATGCCTAGAGTAGACACAGTACAGAGCATGAATTAAGGAATAAGCACCTTATAGTCGGAGGAATGTCTGGAGCAGAGCATGATTTAGGGAAAAACATTTATACTAGGGCAAGAATCCATGGCCCAGGTGGCAGCATTCAATATTGTAAAGATACCTGCTACATGGCAGGCTTGGGGCAAGAGCCACTCCTCCTGATAAAGGAGTTGTAGGACCTTGCTCCAGTTCTTCTGGAAGGCTGCCCTCAGACCGGCAATCGCTCAAGCATTGAGGGCTCAAAACCCCTCCGGATAATCACACCTTGGTGACAGAACTTTATCATCTCTTGTTACTGTGCTGCTTAAAAAGCATCTTCCCGTAGAACTCATTGGAAGCTGCCAGCAGGTGGCGATAGACTCTGACAGCTGTGTCACTGCTGTGGACTTAAGCATCCTTCTATAAATCTTCTGAGGAGTAGCACGCCCATAGATAGAGGTATTGCACACTGCACCCTCTTCATTGCGCACGGCCCACCTCCATGCCTCGGTGACCTAATGGGAATGGACCCCTTGCTGCGCACTGTCCACCTCCTAGCCTAGGTAACCTAATGGGGGTAGACCCCTTATTTTATTGCTCATGACCCTATCCCTATCCTTAAAGATGACTTCACTCACTACCCTGCCCCCTAACCTATAAACAGCAAATACAGATGCTCCTGGACATTCGGGGCCTCGCCTGTCTCCGCCTATAGGTGGTGTGGCCCCCCTGAGCCCAGCTACATTTTCCTTGTACTTCTGTGTCCTGTCTCTTTATTTGTCAGATCCTGCACCCCAGCACAGCATAAGGGACACCCCACAACCCTGTGGGGCCCTTAGCCCTACACATAGCCTGCTTTTCTTTCTTTGTATTATGTATTAAATCCCCATTGATATTGTTCCCTGGCTATACTACCTCCCAAACTTAGTGGCATAAAACATTTCCTCATATGCTCACAGATTCTGTGGGTTAGCAGTTTGGCTAGAACAGTGGGGAAGGCCAGTCTGTACTCTGTGACGTCTGGGGCCTCAGTTGGAGGACTTAGGAGTCTGACGCTGGAATCATCTGAAGTTTCCTCACTCATAGGTCTGGCAGTTGATGCTGGCTATCAGCTGAGACCTTGGCTGAGGGTGTTAGCAGAAACACCAACATGTGGCTTTCTTTGTGGCCTGGGCTTTCTTACTGCGTGGTGGCTGGGTTCCAGGGGAGGTGTCTCAAGAGAAAGTGAGCCAAGAGGAAATTGTATTTTCTTTTTAATGGCCTAGCCTTGTAATAAGATTGGACATTACCATGTTCACCTCTGTCCCACATTGATTTTCCTCAGATATTTGTTTTTTACCACAACCACTTCTGAGAAACCATCTTGACAAGGATATAATGCCATTGATAGGAATGGAGCAGTATACAGTTGGCCCTCTGTATGCACAGGTTCTGCAGTCACAGATAACCTCTGATAATATTTTTTAAAAATACACAGAAAAAAATACCAATTAAAAAATACAGTATAACAACCATTTATGTAGCATTCATGTTATATTACGTATTATAAGTAATCTACAGATGATTTAAAAGTATTTGGGAGGGGCTGGGAGTGGTAGCTCATGCCTGTAATTCCAGCACTTTGGAGGCCAAGGTGGACAGATCACTTGAGATTAGGAGTTTGAGACCAGCCTGGCCAACATGGTGAAACCCTGTCTGTACCAAAAAACAAAACAAAACAAAACAAAACAAAAATTAGCCGGGTGTCGTGGCATGGGACTATAATCCCAGTTACTCAGGAGGCTGAGGTGGCACAATCGCTTGAACCTGGGAGGTGGACATTGTAGTGAGCCAAGATTGTGCCATTGTACTCTAGCCTGGGTAATAGAGTGAGACCCTATCTCAAAAAAAAAAAGTTATGAAGGGGAAAAGTATGTATTCATGAAATAGTCTTAATTACAGGATAGAATAGATTGTTAAAAGATACTTTTTTATTTTTTGAGAAGGAGTTTCACTCTTTCTGGCCTAGGCTGGAATGCAGTGGCATGATCTCAGCTCACTGCGTCCTCTGCCTCCTGGGTTCAAGCAATTCTCCTGCTTCAGCCTCCTGAGTAGCTGGGATTACAGATGCCCTCCACGGTGCCCAGCTAATTTTTTGTATTTTTAGTAGAGACGGGGTTTCATCATGTTGGTCAGGCTGGTCTGGAATTCCTGACCTCTGGTGATTCACCTGCTTCGGCCTCCCAAAGTGCTGGGATTACAGGTGTGAGCCACTGCACAGCTCGAAAAGATACTTTAACAAGTTATCATTACATTGTTAAAATATATGAAGAAAGATCCCTGTATGTGAAAATTAATCTTATTCAGTAACACAGGCTCCCCACAATTTATAATGGGGATTATAAATTATAAAGCCAGAGACTATAACTATGAAGGAAACCATTGTTGTGAAAGGCAAGATTCTAGAAAATGAATATTCATCTATGTTCTTTGCATACTCTGATCAAATACATATATTAAAATTTGAAAATGAAGTTTATAAGTAGTTTATGAAAGAAATAACAATGACTTGGAATAAGGTTAAAGCTTTATTCACCGATAACAGTTCTGAAAGCACATTTCATTTTAACTGTTAGATTTCCTTTTTTTTTTTTTTTTTTTTTTTTGAGACAGGGTCTTGCTCTGTGGCCCACGCTGTGTGTGGTAGAACAATTGTCGCTCACTGCAGCCTCAACCTCCCAGGCTCAACTGATCCTCCCACTCTGCTTCTCGAGTAACTGGGACTACAGACGCATGTCATCACTCATAGCAACTTGTTTTTTCTTTTTGTGAAGACGGGGTGTCACCATGTTGCCCAGGCAGGTGTCAAACTTTTGGTCTCAAGTGATCCTCCCTTCTCTGCCTCCCAGTGTGCTGAAATTACAGGCATGGGCCATTACACTCCACCCCTTTTTTCATTCTTCCATTTTTCTTCCATTTCTATCAGATTTTAGATCTTCCATATCCTAGTTAAGTCCTTAAAATCTTTCTCCAAGAACTTTAGGAATTTGGGAACGTTCATTTGCATATTAGGTAATAGATTGTAATGTAGAAAGCCAGTCATAATAAAATATTAATTTGGAGCCCACTGATTGAGATGGCAGTTCTCAGTGAGTTTAAAAATGTTGCAAATAGCCAGGCATGATGGCAGATGCCTGTAGTCCCAGCTACTCAGGAAGATGATGTGGGAGGATTGCTTGAGCCCAGGACTTCAAGGTCATACTCTATGATATATTGAAATCTCATCTCTTAAAAAAAAAAACATTAAAAAAAAAAAAAAAAAGAGGAAAAAATGTTGTATATAATTTACTTTATTTTTGTAATAGAATGTTTTTTTAATTAACTTGCTGTAATTTATTTAGGAAGCTTTTAAAAGCTTTTTCTTTTTTTTTTTTTTTTTTTTTTTATTGGGGTTGTTTTTTTTTTTTTTTTCCCCCGGGGGCGGGGTAGGGCGCCCTCTCCACCCCCCCCCCCCCCTCCTGGGGTCAGGCAATTCTCCTGCCTCAGCCTCCTGAGTAGCTGGGATTACAGGCACGCGCCACCATGCCCAGCTAATTTTTTGTATTTTTAGTAGAGACCGGGTTTCACCATGTTGACCAGGATGGTCTCGATCTCTTGACCTCGTGATCCACCCGCCTCGGCCTCCCAAAGTGCTGGGATTACAGGCTTGAGCCACCGCGCCCGGCCTTAAAAGCTTTTTCTTATGAAAAATTTAAATATGCGAAGAACACAAAATGCGATGATGAACCCCTTTGTACCGTCACCCAGCTTCAACAGTGATCAACATTTTGCCATTCTTGTATTATCTATCTTTCACCTACTTGATAGTGATTTGTGGCCCCCTTTTTTTTTTTCAGGTAACATTTTCATACATTAATGTGTACAAATCTTAGCTGGAGGGTTTTGACAAATGGATAAGCCCATGTGACCCACACACTTAACAAGACACTGTGTTTCCCATTTTTACCTTCCCAGTCAGTAGCCTTCTGTCCTGAGGCAATTGCTGTTTTGATTGTTTTTTCACCTCAGATTAGTTTTGCCCGTTCTGGAACTTGATAGAAATGGAATCGTACAGAATATATTCTGTGTCCAACTTCTTTCACTTGATCTAATGTCTATGAAAGTCATTCATGTTGGCATAAGCTGAGTATCCTTCCATTGTTTAGCTATCTCACAATTGGTTTTTTTCATTCTGATAATAGACCTTTAGGTTGGTTCTAGTTTGGGATTATTATGAGTAAAGCTTTTATGAACAGGTCAAGCTGCCTTTATATTTGCTTGCAATTTATATTGTTTTTGAAGTACAATAGCATCTAATTGAAAATTCCACTAATTTATAATATTTGAGACTGATCCCTTGTCCCTCCACCTTAATATATTGTTCTGAGTTAGTGTTGTGCTTCAGCAAGTATCTGTTAATTTTAAAGTTTAACATTTCAAAGTTTATATAAAACTGGTATCTAATAGTTGAGAATTCTTGCTTTTGTCAGAAATTGAATTGAATGATGCTTTTTGGAACAACAAAAGTTTTCCCCAAAAAATCATTTTACTTTTCACTAAACTAATGGCATAATAAGCAATCTCTCTTTTTTCTTTCTCATTTTTTTTTTTTTTTTCATTTTCTTTTTCAGAAGCAAGCCCCTGAGTCCCGAGTTGGTGGCAGCTGCGTCTGCTGCTCCCTTTTGGCAAGCAAACAAGCCAGAGCTACTCAGGCAGCTCAGTAGCATGAGGAAGAGTGAGGGGCACAGAGAGATGGATGGAGACCTAAAATTAGGTCAGTAATGTTTATATCTCGAAATAGGCCATTTTCATATGGCTAGTAATATATATAATATATACCAAATAAGTGGAATTTACGAATGGAATATACCATATAAGTGGAATTTTAGCAATTCAAGTTTTTAAAAATCTGATGTCTTAAGTAAGATTATAGTTTTAAGAGACCAATTGAACAGTTAAACTTTCCTTTTAGGAAGTTACAGTTTCTTGTCCATGAAAAAATAAATGATAAATTCAATAATGTTATTAAAAATAAATAACAGAATAAGATAGCTTTTCTGAGAAAAGTAATTTTTTTTTTCAATGTAATAGCTTGCCGGTTTTATGCACCATATGGCAATCTTCAGGTCTGTTTTCTTCTCTTTTTTCTCTTATTCTTATGTTTAAGCTAACATCTTTCCACTTATTCTCTTCATCTCTCATTATTTTATATTACATTACACCACTTGCTGCTTACATTGTAGTAAGTGGTAACACTGCTTCATTTTGGGGAGCGATCTAAATCAGTTGTTCCCAATGAGCATGTGTACTAGATTTATTTCAGGAAGTTAAAAGAAATGGCCATGGGTGGTGGCTCATGCCTGTAATCCTAGCAGTTTGGGAGGTTGAGTCAAGAGGATGACTTGAGGCCAGGAATTTGAGACCAGTCTGGGCAACAAAACAAGACACCATCTCTGCAAACCATAAAAAAATTAGCTGGGCATGGTGGCGTGTGCTTGTAGTACTAGCTGCTTTGGGGACTGAGGCAAGAGGATGGCTTAAGTCCAGAGTTTGAGGCTGCATTAAGTTATGACCGCACCACTGCATTCCAGCCTGGGTAACAGAGTGAGACCCTATCTCTGAAAGAAACTGTGATTTTAAGAAAAGAAAAATGGATACCTGGACTATCAGTTCAGTGACTCATTTGTTTGTGTTTGAAGCAATACAAGGCAATAAATAAATACGGCTACCTCTTGGTTTTAATTTAGTTATTGAATGTAGGTGATAGGTATGCAGATACCGATTATACTTTCCTTTCATTTTCTCAGAATAATTTTTCATGTGACACTTTTATGTTTCAAATGAAGGTTTCTGAAAAACATCTTTAAAAGATGGAAGTAAACATAAATTGTAATGTTCTGTGTTATGGGAATGTTAATAGATGACTTTTTAATTTAAATGTAACTTTTTATGTTATATAATTAGTGCATAAAAATGAAATAAGAATTATCAGTCTCCTGTTTGAGAAAGCTTATTTCTGTTCTGTAGCTAAGATTTCTAATACACTTGACCTTTTTATTATTTCAGTTTCAGTAACATAGTATCAGATATGAAAGTTGCCAGACGTGCTACACCTAGAGTTAGTATAAGAACAGAGCATCAGATTCAGTTTGACCAAGGCTATGACAATTATCCTGGCCAGCAGAAGACTGCTTATCTTAGAAAAAGGTATCAGGCTTTGTGGTCGGCTGGGTTTTGTTTGTATAGTTAGGTTTTACTTTAACTGTAGATTTACCTATTACTTGTGTATATTATTGCTGTTGGAAATGTGAGTATTATGAATGCATTTATATCTGTGTTCTTATGCTCTATATACCACTTCCTATAGAGGGAACCATGTGCTGGATTTAGCCAGTCCTGCGTTTTTCTATACATTGAATCAAAATGGGCCATGCTTCACATCTACCCACGATGAATAGGGGTCCTTTGATTTAGAATAAATAGAGCTGACTGAATTCTGAAAAAATGAGTATTTTATGCGAAACATTATTTTTCATTTTAAATATAAATGCCTAATACTGTGTGTTCATTTACCCTTTATATCTTTATACATGCTTATCTTCTGTTATATCTTAGAGAAATGACCCACCATCAATTAAAAGAAAAGTGAAAGGAAAGAAAGTTTATATAATATTCCTTAAAATGGTAGATTATTTGTGGCCATTTGAATTTACTGATTTGAAGTTCTTAAAGATGCTAACTACATCTTACGTAGTTATTTTAGAATCTAAAGTTGGTCTATATTTACATAGAGTTTCTATTCTTTCTCTCCTTTAAACCCTGAAAGTGGTACTGGGAAGGAGAAGCCCAATGTTTGGCATGGTATGACAAAAATTAACATGTCTTTTTGTTTTTGAGACGGAGTGTTGCTCTGTCGCCCAGGCTGGAGTGCAGTGGTGCTATCTTGGCTCACTGCAGCCTCCGCCTCTTGGGTTCTAGTGATTCTCTTGACAGCCTCCCAAGAGGCTGAGATTACAGGCATGTGCCACTATGCCCAGCTAATTTTTGTATTTTTAATTTTGTATTTTTAATGGTTTCACCATGTTGGCCAGGCTGGTAACTCCTGACCTCAAGTAATCCGCCCACCTCGGCCTCCTAAAGTGCTGGGATTACAGGCGTGAGCCACTGCACCTGGCCTAACCTGTCATTATAGCAGGATATGCCCACAATTGGAGTGTTTTCAATACATTGTATGTTCCATGGATTTGTTTTAAGTAAAATCAGGCACTGGAGTTAACTCCTTCGTAGTGTTAAATTACTGATTTATAAAGGAAAGTTGAAAAAGATGGTCAGCAGTTAACACAAAGTTCAAGAGCTTATGGTAACTTTGGAATATTATTTGAGTTACTAATTTAAAGCAGTTTAGTATCTGTTACATATTCATATTATTGAATAAAGTAGAAAGGGTACTCGGAGTTTTACTTAAGAATATTTCACTGGGAGGCTGAGGCTGGTGGATCATGAGTTCAGGAGATGGACACCATCCTGGCTAATACAGTGAAACCCCATCTCTACTAAAAATACAAAAAAATTAGCCAGGCGTTGTGGCATGCGCCTGTAGTCCCAGCTACTTGGGAGGCTGAGCAGGAGAATCACTTGAACCCAGGAGGTGGCGGTTGCAGTGAGCCAAGATTGACTTATTGCACTCCAGCCTAGGCGACAGAGCAAGACTCCGTCTCAGGAAAAAAAAAAAAAAGAATATTTAACGGAATCAGTTAGTACTCAAGAATATTTAGCTGAGTCAGTCATCTTGCATATAGTACTATACAACTACATTGAGATGGCATATTTGATTTTTAATACTAGATTTGGTATTTAATATTTCAAAAATTACGTGGCAAAGGAGAAGCTAATCAAGTAGGAAAGGGGTTTCTGTGCCTTCAGTGTGTTAAAAAGTCAGCTAAAGGGGAAGCAATGATGAGATGCCAAGTTGTTCACCCTGGTGTGACTCGGACAGTGTCTGGGGTATCAACCCTAGACAACCCAGGCCTGGACTGATTCCTTCTGTTGGAGATTGGCAGTTCACACTGGCCTGCCTCAGAATGTTGGCACTGCCACTAACTAATTCCATGACTGGGTACCTTTTAGAGCCTCCATCAGCCTGTTTCCTTAGGTATAAAACGCTGAACGTGAAACCTAGCTTAAATGCGGGCTTTCTTGAGGAATAGAAAAGAAACACTTATAAACTATCTGGTACATAGCAGGTGCTCAGCAAACGTCCATTCAATTTCTTTGTTGTACATTCCTCTTTTGAAGTTCAGTACTTTACCAAGGCATTCCCTCTGCTGTGAGGTGCTTTAATCCACCATTCTGTTCACCAGACGTGCAGTTGAGGGAGAAGAATCCAAGGCACTGAAGAAAGTTCTGAAAAATGAAAGCCTTTGTTTACAAATGACTTGGGAACCTGCTAGAGGAAAGCTTGTATGAGTTGAGATCACATTATTTAACCTTCACATGGTATTTGCATTTTTTGACCTGTTTTTGTTTAATAGAGAAAAATAATTTAGTTCATAAAAACATTCAAAATTATTTTTAAAACCCTCCAGTTTATAAGCTGGATTTTAATCTATCAGTAAGTTTATTCAAGTAAATATGTAAATTGATGCATAAAGCAGTTGATTATCAAATCTGCAAGAAACTGTTACCTATTAACTCTCTGATATTAATCAATTTCAATAGTTAATTTAAAATGTCATGTATAGAAAGTTAATAATTATTTTAAAATTATAGGATGATTGCTTTATGAGAGGGAATGTTGTGATTTACCTATGCAATCTTTTATAATTATAATTTGTAATTAATCATGGCAGTATATTCTGCCCTTAAAAACAATGGTGACTTTAACAGCTTCTATTTTAGCATAGTTTTATAGTTTTTTACAACATGGAGTTTTTAAAACCTTAATATAAAAGGGAACAAATAAAAATTATGGCAAATTAAGCTAGTCTTTTCAATTAGATATTTTGGAAATTAAATTGCTTTAACTGATTTGTTGTATTATTAATTAAAAGTTCAAGTGCACGTTTCTGTTTTAGTTTATCAGCCCTAAAAATGTGGCAGTTTAGCTCAGATGTTTGATGTGGGTCAGTGGAATTATCTTCAGTTTTTACATAGAGTTATTTCACTTAAAATATTTTCTCATAATTTTTGTTGATAGTTTAAAATATATTCATTAAAAAAATTTTTTTTTGTCTTAGGAAAAATATTCATGGGGAAGAGACTTAATATTTTTTACATCTTGGCAGTTACTAAAGAAGCACCTAAACAGATTTGTTAAGAATAACTATTTTGGCTGGGCGCGGTGGCTCATGCCTGTAATCCCAGCACTTTGGAAGGATGAGGTGGGCAGATTGCCTGAGCTCAGGAGTTCCCTACCAGCCTGGGCAACATGGTGAAACTCCATCTCTACTAAAATACAAAATATTAGCCAGGTGTGGTGGCATGTGCCTGTAGTCCCAGCTACTTGGGAGGCTAAGGCAGGAGAATTGCTTGAACATGGGAGGTGGAGGTTGTAGTGAGATGAGATTGTGCCACTGCACTCCAGCCTGGGCAACAGAGCAAGACTCCCATCTCAAAAAGGAAAAAAAAAAAGGACAACTGTTTCTCAGGTGGAGAAAATTCCATGTTTTCAAGATGTCCTTAGTGTTTGTTCTGATGATATAGTAGTTGGGTATTTTAACATTTCATCCTGCCATTGGCCTGGATCCTAATTGTGAATGTGGCAGTTGTTGCAAGGAAAACTTGGAACTGTAATGCCCCCCAAAATTGGGAAGGCATTTAGAGACCAAAGAATAATTTGGGCAAGTACAGCTTGATGAATAGAGGGGTTTACTAGGATTTACATAGTGGACATTTCTGGGCAGCTCTAGAGTCACCCTGCCTCTTATCTCTAAGCTGTTTTTAAGCTAATATTCTGGCTGTTTGCCTACTGTGTGTGCATGATGAGACTATTTTCCTTGATATGTTCCCGGGTATGCCCTAGGTTCTCAGGGACATCTGCTCCTCAGCTAGGCACTGTGGCCTTGGCTCCCTGCCCAGCCTTCGGCATTCAAGCAACATACATATACCCTTAAGTAATCTGGTGGGGCACATATCACACTACAGTTGTTGACATGTTAGTTGTGGTCCGGTTTCCCCCTTGAAATGTTGCCTTCTGTGAGACAATGGAAGGTAAGTACTACCAATTATATGAATCCAGAGGTCCAAATTAGCTACTAATTTGGGTTAGAACATTATTAATCACCTACCATTTGCAGTGTATCTCTATGCTATTATATAAAGTTATACTTGTTCCTGCCTCTACGCAGCTTACTATCTAGAAGAGGAGATAGCATTTATAAAATAACTTATTGAAGTGATTCAGTGATTGTTCAGGAGATGGGAAGAACATTCAGGGAATCCGTTTAACCTACTTGTAGTGTTTTTTTTCTTTTTTCTCAACACATGGTTGGTCTTTGCTCTCTATTCTTTCCCTTTTCTTTGGGTAAGAAATTTACCATTTTAAGTCTAAAAGAGAAATGAATATCCTCTTGCTTGACATTAAATGTGGTTTGCTAGTAAAATAAATGAAGAAACTCAATACAAAATGGTCTCCAGAGTCTAAGTGATGAGCATTTTTAACGAATTAAAGTTAGTTTTTTGGACTTTGATAGAAATAATGTTGTATATGGACTTAGGAGGCTGAGACGACGGGATAGTTTGTGATTAGCAGTTCAAGACCACCCTGGGCAACATGGTGAGACTCTTTCTCTAAAAAATATAAAAAACATTATTTGAGTATGGTGGTGCATGCCTATAGTTCTAGTGACTTGGGAGGTGGGAGGATCAATGGAGCCCAGAATTTGATGCTGCAGTGAGCTACACTTATGCCATAACACTCCAGCCTAAGCGACAGAGTGAGACCCCTTCTCAAAGGGAAAAAAAAAAAGTTGTACGTGTTAGATAAGTTCCTAGGCCAGCCTCCAATGGCTTGTTTAATCTTTCCACCAGTTACTTATGTGAACTTCTGATTTTCCTCTTATTTAATAAACTCTATTAGAGGCTAGATCTCATTCATGTCTGTATACCCTGTAGCATCTACTCATGTGGCTTACAGATCATAGGAACTAGTTATCTTAAATCTTAAATTCTTTTTTGAACAAACTGTACTATAAAAATACATTTATAAAGGAAAGTAGTTAATTCAATTAAGGTTTTATTCATTTGAACTGAAGGTGAAGCTAAAAGAACAACCCCCTTGTATTACAAAAATTGCATTCTGTTGTGTATGATAAAAAGGAAATGCGGCTGGGCGTGGTGGCTCACGCCTGTAATCCCAGCACTTTGGGAGGCCAGGGCAGGCAGGTCATGAAGTCAAGAGATTGAGACCATCCTGGTCAACATGGTGAAACCCCGTCTCTACTAAAAATACAAAAATTAGCTAGGCGTGGTGGCGTGTACCTCTAGTCCCAGCTACTTAGGAGGCTGAGGCAGGAGAATGGCTTGAACCCAGGGGGCGGAGGTTGCAGTGAGCCCAGATCACACCACTGTACTACAGGCTGGGTGACAGTGCAAGACTCCATCTCTTAAAAAAAAAAAGGGGGGGGGGATATGCAAAATGTATAGGGACAATGAATCACCTCTCCCCTGTTCAAATGATATCTGTTAAGCATGCATCAGAAAGGAATTTTTTGTCAGGGCAGCTGCTGTTGTCCAGCCAAAAGAAACACTTGGATTCTTCAAGAAGCTAGTTTACTTTTTAAAATAAAATTTTATTTCTAAAACTGAAATTAGTTGGCAAGGATGCATTTAAATTTTATGTATTTTATAAAACAATATCAACTGATTATACTCTAGTGAGGAAAACAGCACATGAATTTATGTATTAATTTACTCTAATGAAGGTACCATTTGAATATGCTATACTTGCATGAGTCTAAAGAATGTTTTTTGTTCCCAATTAAGTATAAGAATAGCACAGTGTGGAAACTTAAATTTAGCAATTGTTCACTGTTGTTTTCCTACCACCCCAAGTAATGCTGGAAATACAGTTGGCATTCAGTAATTTTTTATTGATTGATTGAATGAGTTATTCTGTTCTATGATTCCCAAGTCTTGTTGCCCACTAAGTTCTTAGCACTGCTACAAAGGATATAGTCATAGGCCCTACTAGTTATCCTTGAGTCGGCAGGCAGTACAGTGTATAGCTCAACAGAAAGTGTTGGTGTTGTGTAGAACTGGATGCAAGTTCAGATTCTGCCACACTAACCTTTCCCCACCTATAAAATGAGGGTTAGTACATATATATCTTAAGGATTAAATGAGGTCATCTGAGAAAAGTGTCAAGCACAGTGCCTGGAACATAGTACACATTTAATAAAGGTTATTGAAACATGTAATTTGATGGTGGTAATTAGCCAACTTATAGGATTAGTGTTGTGAAGATTAAATGTACTAATGCATAAAAAACATTTAAGCACAGAGGAAGTACTCGGTAATCATTAGCAGTTTTGTTGTTATTATTTTGTTGATCTAATGTCTTTGGTTGTCAAGAGTAATATATTAGTGACTAATTTTGATAGACTAAAAATAAAGATTAATAGGCTAGATTTTGAAAGACAAAGTCACATTTTGTATAAAAATACTCAGATTCATAAAAATACCTTTAAAAAAATACAAATATATATATTTTTCCATTAGAGGAGGCGGTGATTACCTGGCATTGTTGTAAAACCAAAGTTAATCTTGCCGTTATTGTACTTATAGTCTTTATTTATTTATGTATTTATTTATATATTTTTTGAGACAAGTCTAACTCTGTCACCCAGGCTCAAGTGCAGTGGCCTCATCTTGGTTTACGGCAACCTCTGCCCCTGGGTTCAGGCAGTTCTTCTTCCTCAGCCTCACAGGTAGCTGGGATCATGGGCACCACCACTGTGCCCAGCTAATTTTTTTTTTTAGACAGAGTCTTGCTCTGTCACCCAGGCTGGAGTGCAGTGGTGCGATCTTGGCTCACTGCAACTTCTGCCTTCTGGGTTCAAGCGATTCTCCTGCCTCAGCCTCCCAAGTAGCTGGGATTACAGGCATGTGTCACCATGCCCAGCTAATTTTTCTTTTTTGTATTTTTAGTAGAGACGGGGTTTCACCATGTTGGTCAGGCTGGTCTCGAACTCCTGACCTCATAATCCACCCACCTTGGCCTCCCAAAGTGCTGGGATTACAGGTGTGAGCCACCACATCCAGCCTATTTTTTTGTATTTTGAGTAGAGATGGAATTTCACCATGTTGGTCAGGTTGGTCTTGAACTCCTAACCTTAGGTGATCTCCCACCTTGGCCTCCCAAAGTGCTGGGATTACAGGTGTGAGCCGCTGTGCCTGGCCTAGTTATAGTCTTATAACTTACTCTCAGTAACTTTTTATTATATACTATAATTATGAGTGTCAAGGTATGAAAAATACATGATCAATTCAGGATTGTTTATAACATTTTTTAAAAAGATATTTACATTGACTTGTTTCTATTTAAAATGTCTTTTTATATAGACGTGACCTTCTCTTTGGGATGTGGAATTTGCCAAGCAGTTAGCCACAGAAAATGAACAACTCCTTCAGAACGGGTTTGAAGAGCTGATCCAGTGGACAAAAGAAGGGAAACTGGGAGTTCCCAATTAACAATGAAGCAGGTAAGTGGTAATTTCAAGGGTTTATAAAATACATTGATTGAGATTTTTTCTGCCAGATATTCACTTTTAGAGTGCAGATACTTACCTGAATTTCAAAACACTGTACAGATATCTTCATAGTGTCCTAAAGAAAGTAAGTTGCAGCAGAATGCATGCAATTTAATAGTATTTTATAAAATTCAAAAACCAAATTTTGAATATACTTTCTTAGCTATAAAGATGATAAAACTATAAAACAAAATCAACATAATACAGTATTTCAGGAAGGCAGGGTAATTGAGAAAAGACACCCGGGGCTTCAACAGTACTATCATTCTCTTCCTCAAGTTGGACAGCAGGTTCACAGGTGGTCATTTCATCATGCTTTTATGTCATTATATGTTGTTATACTATATGTTATACATATTATAATTATACATTATACTATACATATCCTTTTGTTTGTAACAGTGTTTCATAATATTTTAAGGAATGAATGGAAATGGGCATATAACGAAGATATGCAGTGCCTAGCCATCAGTGAAGTCCCAGAATTATCAGATTCCAAGATAATTCCTTTACAAAAATAAGCAAACAAGGGCATGTTATCTAGAATGGAAAGACCATCCATATTCTACTAACTGAGACAATTAAATAGGGAATCCCTCTTTCAGGTTGGCATTTGTTGTATGCTTGGAAGTGTTTTGAAGCAGAAATTGGTTGTAAATAAATCTACTTCTCCTTAATACTAGGAAAGTATAAGCTTGCTTTTAATGTCACTATTATCCCTGCCAAGAAATTAAAAGTCCTGGAGGTAGTTTTGCTTATGAACTCAATTCCTTGCTTATTAATGAACCTAAATTTAATCCTTGATTATATCTTTCTGTAGAGTTGTTTTTGCTTTGTTTTTAAAAAAGACAGGTGCATTGACCTTCTTCGGGGATGACCATGGGTATTTTAAAAGATAAGAAATTTGCTGAGAATTCCTTAAATTTTTCTACTTTTCACTAGCCAGTGAGGACATTGTCCATTTTTTGCAGGTAGCTTTGAAAGATGATGATACCGCCACAGTTGAGACCATGTTATTAAAACATCCTTCATCTAACCATTTACACATTTGGTTCTAAAGAATGTATTATCCTTAGATTCTTGTTTCTAAATAATGTATTATCTTAAGATTCTTGTCTTGCTACTATTCTTAAAATTGCTCTAAAACTTGCTGAAGTAATCAGCTTTAAATTCTGTAAATACAGATAAAATCCTCTTAATCCTAAAGGTGCTTTTAAAATTCATGCATTTTTACATGTATGCAAATTGGCTATTAAATTGGGAAGATTTTATTCTAAGTAACCAAATCTTAAGGAGCCAAAGCAAACCTGCTTTATAAAATATATTAATTCAAAGACGAGGGAATTTCTGAAAACACCAATTTACTGCGCTTCTGAATATTTCCTCAAACTAGAATGCAAGCGATGTTGGCAGAGGGAGGAAGTAACTCATACTAGGAAGAACAAACAGCTGCTGAAATATGCTTGTGGTTTAGCAGTTCTTTTAAAAATCCTGTCAGCTGCAAAAGAAAGGAAGGACTAATACTTTCCACGATTTCAGGAACATCTTTATTAACAGGCTCCTTTTGAATGTGGTATATAAAGTTAGAAAACACTTAGGCATGGTATCTGGCATAGGGCTCCTAGGGAGCATTTCATAAACAGACGGTCTGGGGCGTATGATGGTTTGACTGGAAGTTTTTGACTTTATGATGCACATAAAGGCAATGCACATTCAGTAGAAACCATACTTTGAGTCCCCATACAACTATCCTGTTTTCATGTTCAGGACATTGTTCCCATAAATTACATGAGCTATTGAACCCTTTATAATAAAACAGGATTTGTATTAATTTTGCCTCTGTAGGTTAATGTAAGTGTTCTGAGTATGTTTAAGGTAGGCTAGTGTAAGCTCTGAAGCCCAGTAGGTTAGATATATTAAAGGCATTTTGACTTAGGATATTTTCCCCTCCCCCAGTAAACCCATTGTAAGTCAAGACACACCTGTATCTGATAGAGGTCTACCTTTATCAATTTAAACTGTGACAAATGTAATGTTCCTGTTTTGCTTTTAAATTGGAGAGCAACAGCAGGTCTGAAATAAATACTGCAGTTACCTTTGTGTTCTTCACTATTTATTGAACAGTTCAGAGGGCAAGGAAGCAAAGAGAAATGCTCTGAGTGTGTTGAATTGTTAACAGTACTACAGTGGCCTTACTGTGTTTTTTTCTTCTTTTTTTCTGTTCTCTTTTTTTTTTTTTCCCTTTTTTAAAAAAAAAAAAAAAAAAAAGATTCCTTGGGAATATGTAATGTTCGTATATGGAAACTGTCAATGCCTTTCTTGCTAACTGTAGGATAAAGTCCAAAATTCTTAGCTTAACATTCAAATTCCTCCCTCAAACTGGGTTCCTAGGCCAACTATTTCAGAGTTAATGTAATTCTCTTCTTCTTCTTCTTTTTTTTTTTGAGATAGTGTCTCGCTCTGTCGCCCAGTCTGGAGCGCAGTGGCACAGTCTTGGCTCGCTGCAACGACCACCTCCCAGGGCTCAAGCGATCCTCTCACCTCAGCCTCCCGCATTGCTAGGAACACAGGCCTGCACCATGCGTGGCTAATTGGATTTTGTATTTTGTGTAGAAAAAGGTTTTCATCGGAGAATTGCCTGAACCCAGGAGGCGGAGGTTGCGGTGAGCCGAGATCGCGCCATTGCATTCCAGCCTGGGTAACATGAGTGAAACTCCGTCTCAAAAAAAAAAAAAGAAAAAGGTTTTCATCATGTTGCCCAGTCTGGTCTCCAACTCCTGGGCTCAAGGGATCCACTCCTCCTTGGCCTTCCAAAGTGCTGGCATTACAGGCGTGAGGCACTGTACCTAGCTGATGTTTTTCGTAAAGTGCAAATTCTTTGGTTCCGCCCCATACCTACTGAATTTGTATCTCATGGGAAAGCTGTACAGTTTTCATTTTTTACTAGTATTGTTTACTTCTTGCTACTCAGAGTGGTCCCAAGCGAGATGCTTCTTTGACAATCTCAGCCATTTCCATGGCTCAGTCACATCTGATATCCACATCCAGTCAGTCATGCAGCCCAGGCAATTTACCTCCTGAAAAGTTTTTGTCATTCATCTTCATGTTTCGACCTTAAGTTACGATCATTTCTTGCAATGAATATGCAAACTTCTGAACAGGGTTTACAAGGACCAGTATGATCTGCCCCTGTATTAAGTCTTGACTCTCTGTAGCCCTAACATATTCTGGTCACCAACTCCTGAATAAGACATGGCTCTCAGTACTTGGTCTCTCCACACCAAATCATTGATTCAGCATTGTTTATCAAGGAAGGACCTGTGATGCCACTGTTATTGTTCTTTATTCTGTGTTTCTGTTTATCAGTAAGGATACCTTTCCCAGAATCCCTGAGCAGACATCTCATGTACGGCCCATTGGCTAGATTAGTTATTATACCCCTTCCTAAACCATATTGTTGCCCAATATGGCCAAAAATGTGGGGTTGGGATCCCAACAATGTGGGGTGTCGGATTACCACAAATGACTTAGTCATGTGCTGGAGAAACAAAATGGAGGCTCCACGGCAAGGGAAGAAGGGAGGAATGAGTATCCTATGTTTATATATACATGTCCTTTCTGTATATACATTCAAAAATGTTCATGCCCATGTGAAAAATGTATTTATTTCCCAAAGAGAATCAGCCAGAATCTCATCCAGATACTCTATCCAGCTTCATGTCTGATTATCTCTGGTGGGACATGCAGGCTGTGGCTCCCTGGTGTCTTGTCCTCAACAGTCACATGTGATATGAGCACTGGGAAGAAGACTCTAAGGCTGCTCAGCTTTAGAGTACATTTCTTTATGGTGTGAGTTTGATGTACTGTCTCAGAGTCACTATTTTCCCAGCCTGAAACAGTTGTGTCTCAATGCCCTCCATTTTGCCTTTTCCACCTGGCCAGTTACACACCATTCCAGATCTGTTTTGTAGCACTCCACTTCCAAATACCAAATTGTCTATCAGTTTGGATTCTTAGTCATAAGCAACAGAGATGGATTCTAGTTTTCAGTATAAGATAAATTATATTAGAAGAATATTGTGCTGCTCACAGAATGGCCAAAAGGACTAGAGAATCAGCATCAATCTGAGCCACATGGCTAGGAATCAATCCTGGAACCATACTGCATAACTGGTTGGGTGAGGAAATTGTAGCCACTGTTGCCAAGCACTGACACATTGTGCTTTGTAACACTATCTGCTGCTTTGGAAACTTGAACTTGACACATGTGCTGCTGCATCTGGAGAGGATACACTAAGGTCCTGCCTTGATTTGTTGTTGTTAACCAGCTACCAATTTTAAAGTTTGTGCAAGTTCAGTTAAGTTGTTTGGTATTTCAGCTTTTGTAGAGGAAGACTGGCTCAGTGGGAAGACTCAGTGGGAATTCCCCAAACATAAGAAGGGGCAAAATTTAAGTAGCCCTAAAGAAAGACGTACTTAAGGACAAATCCAGGTCTTGTAGGGCCAAAATTTACACAATTTGGTGGAGTTGTGGGAGTTAGGAGGGGATTTATTTAGGAAAAATACATACAAATTTATAATAAATTAGAGGATTTGAAGGGGCTTTTGCAGATGAACATCCCTGAAGTTCTACTTCCCAAATCACTGCAGTAGCTCTGCTTTCCAGCCACTCTGCTTAGCAGTTTATCTCATGCTAGTTAACTCCTACGTGTTCTTCAGGCTTCGGCTGGGACATTGCTTCCTCTGAGAGCTTTCTCTGAGCTTTCAAAATCTTCTGACTGCTCTCACAGAACCCTTTAATCTCTCCCATTTAGACATATATGACACTATAATTGCCTGTTGATATGCATGATTCCAACACAAGATTATTAAGTACCAAGATTGCAGTCATTTTAGTATCCCCCGTCCCTAGCATAATATCTATACATAGTAGGGACTCAATATTTATTAAATTAGAAAACTACAGATTGTCATTGCCACCCCCGCCCCCCCTTTTTTTTTTTAAGGTAAATCTTGCTCTGTTGTCCAGGTTGGAGTGCAGTAGCATGATAATAGCTCACTGCAGCCTTGACCTCCTTGGCTCAAGCAATCCTCCTACCTCAGCCTCAGGAGTAGTTGGGACCACAGGTATGCACCACCACATCAGGCTAATTTATTTTGTGGAGACAGAGTTCTACCATGTTGCCCAGGCTGGTCTCAAACTCCTGGGCTCAAGGGATGCTCCTGCCTTGGCCTCCCAAAGTGATGGGATTACAGGTATGAGCCTGCCACTGTGCCTAGCCTCCTTGTCTGTTTTCATGATCGTGTTCTCATGTTGCTCACCACCATCCATATGTTGATGACTATCAGTTCTTATCTATAGCTCTAAATGTGTTTTAAAAAATGGTTTTATAGGGCTATAATTGACATAAAGCAAACCCCACACATGTAAAATGTACAGTTTGAAGTGTTACATATATATATATATATATATACACACACACACTGGTAAAATCATCACCATCATCAAGATAGTGAACATCCCTATTAACCCAAAATGTTTTCTTGTGCCCCTTTTATTATTGAAATTCTGCCCTGCTCTCCAACCCCCACCCCCTACCCCATAAGCCACTGATCTGTTATCTGTCATACAGATGAGTTTTTAAAATTTCCAGGATTTTATATAAATGGAATCATACCAAATGTACTATTTTTGTCTGATTTCCTTCACTTAGCATAATAATTTTGAGATTCATCCCTATTGTAGTGTGTAGCAATGCTTCATTCCTTTTATTGCTGAGTAGTACTCCATTGTACGGCTATACTGGCTATATTACTGTTGTTTTTTGTTTCTTTGTTTTGAGACGGAGTCTCACTCTTGCCCAGGCTGGAGTGCAGTGGTGTGACCTTGGTTCGCTGCAGTCTCCGCCTCCTGGGTTCAAGTGATTCTCCTGCCTCAGCCTCCCGAGTAGCCGGGACTATAGATACATACCACATTTTTTTTGTATTTTTAGACGAGACAGGGTTTTACCATTTCGGCCAAGCTAGTCTTGAACACCTGATCTCAGGTGATCCGCCCGCCTTGGCCTCCCAAAATGTGGGATTACAGGCATGAGCCACCACACCTGGCCAGTTGTACTACTGTTTATTCACCTATTGATGTACATTTGAGTTGTTTCCAGTTTTCAACTATTAACCATTAAAACTTCTATAAACAGTCATTCCTGTAAAAATGTTGCATGAACATGTTACTTCATATCTCTTGGGTGCTAATTGTGTAGCAGTGGTCTAAATCATCTTATGGTTGTGCCTTTTTACATTCCTACCAGTGGTATATGAGTTTTCCAGGATGCCCTACATCCTTGCCAACATTGTCAGTCTTTCTCATTGTAGCCATTTAAATGGGTGTGTAGTGGTATATGGTTGTGGTTTTGTTTCCCTATTGAATTACAGTTTCTGAGTTTTGAGAGATTTTTTTATATATTCTACATGCAAGTGCTTCATCAGAGATATGATTGTAAATATTTTCATAGTGTAGAATCTTTTAAATTTTGTTGAAGTCTAATTTACAAATTCTTTTATGGATCATGCTTTCGGTGTGCTAAGAAATCTTTGCCTAACCTAAAATCACAAAGATTTTCTTTCTTATAGAAGTTTTATAGGAGTTGTAGGCCCATAATCCATTTTGAGTTAATTGTGCATGGTGCAAGATATGTATTGAAACTCACTTTTTGGCATATGTATATCCAATTTGTTGTAAAGTCTGTCCTTTTCAACTATTTTTTCTTCACTGATTTACCTTTGGACCTTTGTTAAAAATCAGTTGTCCACATATGGTATGGGTCTATTTATGGATTCTCTGTTCCATTAATCTGTTTATCTTTGTGCCAATACCACAAGGTTGACAAGTCTTGAAATCAGGTAATGTTCTCTCGAGAATAACCCTACGGTCTAAGAAGAACTTACGTTTGGAGTCCTGGGCTAAGGAATCCAGGAGCAGCTAACCCTGAGATTCACTCCCTATCTATGAAGGACATCCACACCCCTAGCCCATATCTTGGAACACAGGCTGTACAGGGGATCAAGGCCCTTTGTTTTGGGTTCAATGGAGGTTGCCAGAA